CTTTATCTTGAGTAGCCTAGTAAAATAATTAGCTCTTTTATTCAAGAAGTATTGTAACGCAAAGAGAACGATAAAAATCCCTCCGCAGCTTTTTTATTGGACAGTACTTTCATTTATGTTTTTTCTCCCTGTCGTGTATCTTAACCTTTGTTCATATCTCGTTTAACCACACCTTTTGTCTTCCAGTCTTCCTCGTCTGAGCCTTTATTATGTGATTTTGATTAAAGGCTTATCTTTTGTTACCTAATTTTCTATTGCATGTTGCCGGACTACTGAGAGTAAGGTCGTGTTTGACTAAGCTCAAGGTCATGGCGTGATTCAGTGTGTGACTGTTAACCTTTTGACTGTCTGCTTGGGAGGATCGCTGGAATCCCTGAAGATAGATATTTGATCCCATCTTGTTGGGAATATTTTATTGACTCTCAGCACACTACTTTGGGTCAGAGAAACTTCTGACTACATAACACAGGCTGTACCGTTTGAGAACCGTTTAAATTGAGCACATAGTTTGTGTTTTGATATAATTTAATATGAGTGTGTGAACTATACAGAAGAAAGTAGTCTGGCCTATTCGAATAAATTTTGGTTCGTCAGTCCTGCGTTCAAACCGAATACTGGTAGTTCGGTCGTTACAAGTATAATTCAAGAATAATGACCACATACACTTGTACATGTTAGACGAGTTATTAATTAAATCAAATGATCACATTAGTTTTACCTTATAGTGAAAATGTAATTTCAATAAGGAAATACAAACAACTATAATAAATCTTTGTCTTTATTGAAATAATAATAAGAATGTATGCCCTTTTCATTTGATAAAATTTCTTTTATCCTTATGCAATTTCTTATTCACTATTTATAGTTCATAGGTGCATACAGCTTGTAAAAATCTCAATCTAGGACAAACCTTCCCCATATATATATATATATATATATATATATATATATATATATAATTCGAATCATAAGCATTATCAACACTATTATTATTGAAGTATTCGTCCTCTTTACTTAAAGGATTTGTTTATCAAGTTACAGTTGAATCTGTAAGGATATTAGCATGTTGCCAGTTACTCCGAGTTTTATAGCATATCTATTTGCAAAAGATTTTTTGGCATAAATTCCAAAGTTTAGTAAACTGCTATCAAATTATTATATTTCTCTGGTATCTAAATTAATTTTATAAGATTTAAAATAATGAAATCTGCTTTATATGTCAAAGATTACAGAATTCACCTATTGGTCATCAATTGATAAAGCTCTTCACAGATCTACCAAAAGCGATATGATCAACTAGTCAACAAGTATAAACCTTCCCTATGATTTTCAGTTCAGCTTTAGCCAACTAAACCTTACCATAACATAAACTTACTGCACTGATACCTTTTCCATACGTACATTTGTCTGATTATTTTCCGCTTTTAGAAAAAGTTGGCTGCATATTCGATTTTACTGAGTGAACGAACAAGGATTATGCTGTCTCTTATAGTTAATCATATCCCTGCTATTTTTTTACCTTGTGTAACTGTCCACTAGGTTTTGTTTCTACCATCGAGCCTCATTATCCCATAAATACGGTTGACATTATAATCACATAGATTAAACTTCTAGGGATGTAAATAACTAGTAACCAATAAACACAGCACCATTTTTTCTCAGATTCATACCCGCCAAAATTTGTAGGTATATTAGCACACACGTCACTTCTATCAATGTTATATCGACTACTGAGGTCAGCCTAATGAAACTACACTGCACTACTTGCCAGCTATCAGTAGTATGGAAACTAATGGAGAAATATCTCGGAGAGCAGCGTCGGATTGTGTAAATAATTGACGTGGTTTAATGTCTTTTTATTTATTTATTTGCACACATAAATATTGGTACAAGGGGGCACCAAACATATATGCGCCACAAAAAACAATGAGAATGGGAAGAGAAAAAAAGGTAAGGAGCGTATAAGAAAGGAGGATGAACAATAACGACCACAGGTTAGTGTCAGGCAGCGTAATAATAATAATAATGGGGGAAACGGAAAGGTACAATCTGAAGAAATCTTTCAGTTAAGGAAGATACAACCACATTTTATGAAAAAAGTAAAAGAAGATTAAAGCAGGATCGCCATTGGCTTCTATTCTGAGCCATATCTGATAACGTCTCTAGCCACTGTGTAGCACCATCTCTGGGACCCTAAACAAGGAGTCGTGAAGGACCGACACAAGCCAGTCCTTTACAGCTTTCTTCCATACCACGACACCATGTCATACACTGACCACCTCTCCGCTTTTTCCAACCAGTCGGTAAATAATGCACGACGAGGAATTCTTTGAGACGACATTCGTAGAACATGTCCAAGCCACCGAAGTCAATGTTTCAAGATGGTGACACCAATTGCATTATCGTCTCTGCGCCTGAACACACGATACCAAACCTCTGCATTACTGACATGGTGTTGCAACTGGATGTCAGCAACCCTTCAGAGACAACGATGATCAAACACAGTGAGTCGTCTAACATACTCAACTCGGAGGCCAGGTTTCACAAACATAGAGCAAAACTGCTCTAACCGACGCGTTGTAGATCCCACCTTTTACAGCAAGACTGACATCACGAAGGTGCCAAAGGTGGCCCAGATTGGCATGAGCTGCTCTGGCTTTCACTATACGTGAATTGATCTCATCACTCACGCCACCACCAGCACTTATGCAGCCACCTAGATACACGAACACGATGGCAAAGTTGAAGAGGAATGGTGAAATTGGGCAACCCTGCTTAACCCCACTGCCTGAATGGAACAATGGAGAAATGTGGTTGTATGCCCTTTGACCTAAAAGTTTGATCCACAAGGCAGTGGAGCATCGTGAGGAGATGCAGTCCCATGGAAGCCGGTGACCAACGATTGGTTAATACGCCATTTGGTCCCGCAGGATACTGGAGCCCATGTGCACCATGGGTTTGGGATCCGGTTAAAGCGCCGGACATTCGCTTTTCGTCCTCTCATTTTCGTAAACAACACCCCTGCCACGAGAAGGCAATGAGTAGGACTTCCCTGGCAGGGGTTGTATACGCATGGCCGTGTGAGAGCATTCCGAGGGGGAGGGCGGGTCCGTCCCACTCTCGGCCATACCAGGGCATTTGGGGGCAAGATGGATGGTGGCTAGCAGTGTAATCCAGTACGTGCGCCTGGTCTTACTCGGGACTCGTCAACTGGAAGCATCTGTACCTCGGAGTTGATGTTCACTGAAAATGCAATTCATGTACATATTTTTAGTTTATCGGAATCAGAAGCAACAGTGAAATCACTGTAAAAGCCTGAAATTTAAGTTACTGCATCAAGGTCTATTCATCAATACAGGTTTGAACGCCATATTAGAAGAGAAGCTCCAATTAAACACCTATGAAGAATTCACGAATTTAGAACGTAAACACCTGATAAGTCAAGCTCTCATAAATATGCATACTCACCAAATCACTACGAATATTAAGTATTTCACTGCATGAGTAAGATTTGTTCTGCCATGGAAATCTTTGCTCCATTCAGTGAGTCTCTGTGGTTACTATTTAAACGATCAATTTCGTAAACCTACACTCCATTAAAAACCCTCTTTCAACTAACTTGTAGGCAAGTATTTCACCCGGTCCTTATACGGGTCGACTAAAGTTCCGAGTAGTGAGCAGTGAATTCAAGTTTGGTTGCTAAATGGTAAGATGCTACTCAATAAACCCGCTCCTGGGTTCAACCCCGTGTAGGGTTGCGAATGAGCATACTTAGGTGGTCTTATATTACAAATAATTTAATGAGTTCACTTTCCATTGGTTCCGGTAATGGCAAAGACCATCCTTGAACTAGACTACTTTGAAATCCAACTTTCGTGACCAGGACCTCCAAGTGCAAAGAATGAAGAATGGTATGCCCCGAAGTTACACACCTTCGAACGTTAATGTTCCGACAAAATTTATAAATCACTAAAATATACAGCAGTGAAGTCCAGATATCTTTGTGTAGGCATCTCTAATGATAATCCCACTGAGTGCCGTCAAGGTAAAGAACGTTTCTTACATCGAATTCTTCTATAAACAATATTAAATTGTTGTTAAACTTTTAAAACACATACATGTTTCACAATCCAAGTGAATATAGTTCGAATAAATAAAAGAGCACCAGTTGCTGGGAAATTCCCACAGCAGTTGATTGATCTAATTCTGATATTCCAATCAAGAAAATACCACTAGACGTTACCTAAGTGTCTGAAAAGTACTGTACTTTATTCCTTTATAATTTGCATCAGCAAAATATCATTAAAAAATCTCTGTAAACCTTGCCTTTTAGTGGTCTCCATGTTTTGTGATGTAATTAAATTAGTGAAAGCTATTCAGAAACTGGATGTGTAATAACTCACTAAATGTCCAATTCATGGCAAACAGGAAATTATCAAGTTTGAACGAGTAAATGTACCATTTAAATATGGTTTAAGAATATACATAAAGCTCATGTTAATAAACATAATGGGACCAGGACACTTAATAAAGTAAAGCGCCTATGGTTTCCACAATGTGTAGCAAATCTAATATTGAACAAAATGGACAACTTTCAGTATAACACGACTATGTATTGATAGAACTGAACACTTACCCACATACTAAGGAAAGTTAAATCGTATTTCAAAGAATTTTACTAACTTCGGGAATATTACTCATATAACTGCTTCTCGAAATGACAAAATTGGCATATTCTACATAGTTTGTTTATCTTTAGGATAGCTAATTAACAAAACGGTAAGAACAATACCCTTAATCCGGAAAGGAATTATGGAAACAAGGCTGGAACATAATCTTGTGATCTATAAAACAATCTTTTATTGGATAGCAATAAATGCCTCTATTAAGATTAAAACGATGGAAAAATGGGAGATTAAAGAAAACATGTACAAAATCTCCTTATTCGGCTAAGAGAAGTATAAGGAATGCAAAACAAATGTTAGTGCAATAACATAGAACTAAATTTCATATTTTCCAGTACAAATATCCCTGCCTCTAGTCTGTGATCGTTGATCAGAAACAGGTTGAAAGTATATTGTATCTTCTAATTCTAAACGCTCTTTAATTCGCTTCCCAATTCTTACGATAGTCTCTTCTTCATTGTCACTAGTCAGCCAAACTGAAAGCTTACTACCCCGAGCCCGTGGTTGGAACACTGCTCCACATATCTGTTTATCCTCTTCATCTGTATCCCAGTCGGAACCGATCAGAAGCATCAACAATTCATCCCATAAGCTGGAATGGAAGATATAAACATTCTATACAAAAATTATCAAAATTTAAACGAAAAGGTAATTTTCCCGGAAAACAAAACTCTGTAAAATGCACCAACAATGGAAATTAACAACGCCATCTGAAAAATCTGGGATAGCAAAGGAACAGGACCAGAGAGCATACCGGCTGAGGTATTGAAGCCATACATCGCGGCGGTTCCAAAGATAACCCACGTTCTCTTCATATAGATTTGAGGGAAAAACAAGTGCCAACAGACAGGTAAGAGGGATACCTCTTCAAGATACCGATGAAAGACGAGTGAGTGTGAAAACTAGAGAGACATTACACTTGTTTATATCAGGCAGTTTTCAAGTGTTGCTGAACCTAATGAAAGACCCAGTAGACCTTTAACTTAGTGACAAACAGGTTGGCTTTCGTAAGAATTGATTGCGACACTGTGGATCATTTTTGAAGAACTGTTTGAATGTAACTCATCACTATACGTCAACTCCCCTGATTATGAAAAAGCATTCGGTAGGTAGGATAAAAAAGCACTGGAATCTTTGTCAATGGGTATGAAGTATCTGAGATTACCAACATACGAAACTCCCACAAGGGACTGAAGTGCAAGGTCGAACATGGTTGGCAGCTTGCAGTAAAGATCAGTGCCAGGTATGCGCAGCAACATATGCAGACGAAGACAACTAGAGGCTTTCGAAGAAATAGACTTGAGAACTCAGAAGTAAAAGAGCAAGATCCTGAAATACAACACAGCTCATGAAGAGGTGGAGAGTTTTACTTGCCTGGGCACCATCATCGATGAAGATGGATTTCACATAGATGTTAAAGCGAGGATTGGTAGCGCAAAAGTAGCATTTCTATAGGTCAATAACATCTGGATCTCGAAAAAGCTTTTGCCTAAGACTAAAGTCGGAATTTTTAGAACTAGCTTAAAATTTTTATTGTATGGAGCTGGAATCTGAAGATCCATCACCATCATCAGAAAACACAGGAATTTATTAACAGATGCCTACGCAAAACCTTTCTGCCAGAGACCAGCTGCAAAAACATACTGTGGTAGAAAACAAACTGGCTGTCACTTGAGGAGGGAATTAAGGACACATTTTGTGGAAACTATCAAACCACATCACAAGGCAAACCCTGACTTGGAATCCTCAAGGGAAAAGAAAAAGACCCAAACAAAAAGACATGTGACCTAGAGTTGGGTGCACATATTAAGACCACGAATAACACTTATCAACAATTGTAAAAGGGAACCAAAGAAAGAAGTGCTTACAAATTCATAATTAGAGGACTTTACTCCTAGCAAACCTAACCTAGTATTTTGCCGACCCACAGAAAACAACCTCGACAAACATATAGGTTTTAACAACCATGGGACAATCCGAAGATTTGATAATTTGATAAGTTCAGTGACTTACAGATGTGTTCACAAGGTGTCTGCAATCGCATTGCTCAATATGCATCTACCGACTCAAAATAATTTTTGTCGCACTAATTTCCGTGGAAAATATTGACCAGGTTTGTCTTAAAAAAACCAAGGTTAAGAAATGAACCGTACACGCAGTAACTGTCAGTGACTAGGAAATGATTACGTGAAAACTTAGCGCAAAATAGTGAAACTGACGACTAGGCAATATGCCATATTTCCGAGCATCGCCTGAGAAATTTTCGACTCGAAATGATGGAAATTATGATAGGTCCAACGCTGCTGGTTGATTAGGTAGGATGAGACTCGCTCTCTACAGAGACACAAGGCAGTGGAGCACCGTAAGGACATGCAGTCCCGTGGTAGCCGGTGACCAACGATTGGTTCACACGCCATTTGCTCCTTCAGGATACTGGAGTTCATGTGCACCACTGGTTTGCAATCAGGGTTTTCCAACTCCCCTAGGTGGACTCTCAGTGTCCACCAACCCAGTTAAAACGCTGGACATTCGCTTTTCGTCCTCTGAAATTCGTGAACAGCACACCGGCACGAGAAGGCAATGAGTAGGACTTCCCTAGCAGAGGCTATATACGCAAGGCCATGTGAGAGCATTTTGAGAGGGAGAGCGGACTCTCTCCACTCTCAGCCTTACCAGGGAATTCAGGGGCAGACCTTTAGGTCGAAGGTTCTGGGTGCGACCCCTAAGAAAACCACCTGCTTCGGTTTGGGCACCCGGGCAGTATCACAGCCCTCGTACATATCAAATGAGATTTGTGTGGCGCATATGTATTTGGTGCCTCCTTGTACCAATATCTGTGTTAAAATAAAACTACAGAGACAAGAATACAAGTTGTTAATCGTTAAGCAGAAATGTTGGCAATAACAAAAGATCTGGTTGAGAAGAACAATGTAAGACGCAGTCACAAAAGGAGCAGATATTTCTGACCTTAATCCTTAAAAAACTACCAATATCAGGTCACTTGCAAACTAATGTTTAGAATGAACTTGACAACAGTATTTGAACACAATCAGAAACATAAGCAGAATAGCGGTATGGTGCACATTATTGACTCAAAACAGGTAACCTCGTGAAGAAAAACAAATATTGTGACAGTAACTTTCTTTTTGGAAACAATGCAGTAATCACAATGAGGTGAAAACCAAACTCGAGGATACAGCGCTGGATGTCACATTCGGTTAGTGAATTAAGTTTATACAAATATGATCTACCCAGGTGGCAAGTATGGATTTATGTGCACAGCTATGAGTCATAACTCAGTTGTGTGAGTGCTAGTAAAACCAACCAGTTACCCAAACTAAAGTAGGGAGTGCTTACTCAAGGTATGTAAGCACAAGTGACAGAAACAAGTGCCCAGGACATTGCTTTGCATGGTTGAGAACTTTGTTTTTGTTGACTATAAGCTAATGGCTGGCATTTGGTCATATGGATTCTGCTGAAAAACTGAGGTCAATAAGGAAGGGGAAAAGTTTGTCGAGACTTGGGTGTATATTATTTATTTGGAATCACATACAAATTGGTAAGTCTATATAGGAAACTGTCCTGTGTTCTACGCGTTACCTGGGAAGCACATCGACCTAGAATGTTAGTAGGGAAAACGTTAGATAACTGAAACAAACTATATTACCGCAATGAACCAATACCTAACATCGATGGAAACATGATCTTCATGTGCAGTATAACAAAACATTACGGGGAGAAATGGGAAAAAATAACCGAATTACACATTAACGTCTTGTCGTGGAGAAACATTGATTAGCCAACGTCCCCCATTTTCATTTTTCGGATCCTCCCATTTCGGCATAATTTCAGATTTGAACATATATAAATCGCTGCCATTAGTTATCTCTTTTGGTCTAATTGTATGGGTGAGTATACTCCAGAAGTGCTCAATAGTGCTGAAAGTTGCCACTTTTTCTAGACATGCATCCCAAAGGAGTCCCTTTTTGAACTGGAACAAATAATAACACCACCTAAACAATCATCTAACTAAAATGCAATTTCTTATTACGAGTCTTGAAGTGGATGTAGACGTAATTCCTCCTCCTCCTTTTCCTTTTCTTCTTTTACACGTTGGCTACTCTCAACAGCCGTCATCCAAAACGTGTGTAAACTTCGCTTCAAAATTTACTTGTACTAACAACTCATGTGGTATTCAATAGTGGAATTGAACAGTCTACTATTTCAGGTGAGGCTTCATGAACAGGGGAAATTTTGTCTACTACAACAAGGTTGTATTGGACCAAATTATGATACTGATTAGTTTGTTCGTTTGGTTTTTATCTATGTTTGTGTTCACCTTTCTCTTAACTTGATTAGACAGGTCTCCAACCAATCTACGGAGAGGCTTTTTCATCAGATTCTGTGAACAAGTAATCCTGAAAACTTCTGAACAGGACCCAGCACTGTTGGAAAAATATAACAATTACTTGGATGGAGGTTGAAATTTCAGCAGCTTGGTGAATATTGCATAGACTTCAATTTCTTATCAGTTTAAAAAGGATAGGAGGCTGATCAGCCACTGTTAGTTCTTTTGATCGCCCCATTTTCGAACGTATCATCAGATGGAACTCGAACCTCATGTTAACGTAAAAAGTTTTACTGCTTAATCATTCGATTGGAGAGTCAATAGTCAGCTGAAAAGTAATTGGTTCTGGGCTTATTGATTTTCCTGAAGTACCCTCGTGAATCCTCTGTGTTGGAAGATAGGAAAAATGGAAAATTACCACTAAGTATTTTAAAAATTGTGATCAGGACACCTCTATTATCTTTATATGACAAGGGAAATAGGTTTAGTTTAACCAGTCTTTCATCATACAGCACTCTGTGATTCCAGGAATCAACTTAGTTGATGTTCTTTGAATCTTTTATGACACTTTTGAGACAGAGGATAGTTGGTCATGTCGATTGCTGAAGTGTGAGATGAACAACCACCATATATAAGGCAACAATTATTTCGACATTTAAAAGGCAAAACATTAAGTCTTGGTTAAAGGGTTCTGAAAAAGCATTTAGCGACAACCGCTTGGCCGTGCTTGGGTTTCAAACATTTACTGGTAGCAACTCCGATATCAGTGTGTATCTTCATTACGTACTTCTGTCATGCCTCCTGTAGGAGCGTGTGTCGATCACCAGGTTTCTTCAGCCAACCCTGTCCTGGGCAACACTTTCAGTTCCAGTTGCTGTTCACTCTTTTGACGTCTGCTTCCAATTCTCAGTGCAATGTGTTCTTCGGCCTACCTCTTTTCCGTTTCCCTTAAGGATTCTAAGTTAGCGCATGCTTCGTGATGTATGTAAATTATTTCCAGCGCCTTTTCTTAATTTGCTCCGCAGCTGGAACCTGGTTTGTCCTCTCCCACAATAGGTTGGTGCCGATGATATCCGGTCAACGCGCATTGGATATCCTGAAGAGACAACTGTTTATAAATACTTGTATATCTTCAACAATGGTTGTGTCTAGTAGTAGAGACGATAAATCAAATGACTTATTTTAATATCCAGAGTATTTTCTGGATTCTCCCCAGAAACTTTTTTTTTAGTGTTGCTACTACAAGATGATTTGTATGAATATTTTAGAAGCAGACAGCCGTATGAAGACACTCACTTCTGACTGAAACTTACTTAGTTCCAATTTTCGAGCATTTTTGCCATGCTTTGGGAGGTTATTAGCCCCAGAAATGAAAAAACGATGAGCCATGTTACCACAGAAGTGGTCATTTAAGATAATGGGTTATTGTATTGGGACATCTCTCAGTTTACAAAAAGATAGGGTATGGTGGCAAATAAATCTCCTGAATAAGTCACTGCAAATTATTGACACTGACGTTGATTACTCTAGTTTCACCGAACAAATAACAGGCTGAGGACGCCCGACCAAGCATCCACACTGGGCCATGTTTTTGGGACACTGGGCTGCACACCTCCTAGAACAATAAAACTGCCTCGATTTAGTACACTAAGGGGAATCAACTTATAATTCAATGTACTTCTGAATCTCGTCATCTTTGACTTTCCATCTTGCTAGCTTTGGGATCATCACATAAGAGGAGATTTTGAAAGTATGATTGTCGAATTTCGCTAATCCGTCACGCACTATACTGCTGAGGTGCGACATGATCAAAAATACCAGAAGATATACTGCCAGTCTATCTCTTGACTCGAAGTGTGATATACATATATAAAACACAACATGTACACATAATTACCGACGCACATGCGCTTCCTTGTAGTTTTTAAAACATCATAGTGATAATTAAACGGGAATGTCGCATCTTTCGTATTTGTTAGTGACTTCTCAACACCATATGGAACCCTTAAAAGAAGATCCCTCCTCATTCAACAGAAACAAATTTTATCATTTTAGTCATTGAAGAGTTCTGAATGAAGTTCGGGTCGGTAAACTATAACATTCTTAGTTGAGCGTTTGAGTCATTTGAGAATCTTCTAATAAAATTAAAATATTAGTGACTGAAAGATTTTTTGTGCTTAAAATTATGACCTCAAGCTCAACTTGCAATAAATACTTACGAACACTACCTATAAAATTTTTCCGTCTTTATTTGATGATCGGTAAATATAGGTCCTACAAATTGGCCTCAAATCATAGTCAAATTGTTTGTCATACTGGAAGAATCTCTATCTTTTAAGAGGAATCACTGGGCGTTGATGTTTATCACACCTAATCGAGACCTTTGCTGATACGTGGCAGTTGGAGTTTAACTGTCTAAAGATGGTATTTGTGGTAGCCTGGTTATAACTGAGTTATTTTCCCTTTAGGCTCTCGAGCATGAATATATTAGGTGAGATTTCATATGTTCTCTGAACGACCCACAAGATTAAAATATCCTTGAAACCTGGTTAGGAAGTTCAGAGCCAGAGTCATTATGTAGTATAGCTTCAACGAAAGATTGCGTGAGTGAATCAGTTACATTCCTCTAGTTTGCTCTGAACGAGATGGTAATATCATGTCAAATACACTGCGTAATCCACACGCCCAAGTACTAACACAGTTGACATATCTTGGACAATATTAAGATCATGTACAGGATTAATTGAGCATGGGTAAGGTACTTGTTTACAATCCATTTTCATGAGGTCTCATATAGCTAGAATATGAAGTCTGAAACAACTAGTCAAAGCGTTTAAAGGCCCTGGGTAGCTAAAGCGGTAAGCTTAACTTTTTTAACAACCGCTTTAATACGATACGGCAATAGCGAGAACCCAACCTATAAGAGCTTATCAGGTTTGAGGTTATTAGAAATAATAATCTGTTTCCTGTGTTATAAACATCTGTTTGAGTTGTCTCAGAAGTATGACTATAAAAAGTTTTGACATTGATATGCCCAAGTATTTTGATAACCTCTTTAAGCCAGTATGTCTGGATTTTCATATACCTATTTGTAAAAGTGCTCCATTACTTCAAATGACAATCCTTTATATAAAGAGGCGTTCATTTTCATGAAGTAGAATTAGGTGCTTTGTAGTCAACTGAAAAAATGAATCTCAGAAATAGTTAGTTTTCTTTTTTTTCAATAGCTTTTAGGCTTCCTTGCCTTTCCATGAAGGATGAAACGATATTTTGAGCGGAACCGATCATTGGGTTCAGGGTTTGAATATTTTCGATTTTTTCTCATCAAAGGGTAGTAATCTTGCCTTCTACATGAAGTACCCATTTTCTTGGTTCGATTATTAGTAAAAATCATCAACTAATCAACATCATTTTGGACGATATGAAAATCTCAGGAAAATTAAAAGCGTGAAATGATACCTTATTTTTGTACAGTTTGATCAAAAATGTAAACACGATAGCTTTTGAAGAACAAGCATACAGAAAACCAAGGCATATGTAATAAATACTGAACTAAAATAGGAGTTGCGCCGAAACACTGTTCATAGGAGCCAAAATACACTTCTATACACTGGCTTTATAGAAAATTTACGAAACTCATCCCTAGTTTGTCTGCCGTATGACTGAGTCTCTTCATTAAAATGCCGTCGAAAGACCAACCCCATAGACCCAAAAACAGATCATCTGGCAATATGAAAAAATTGCCTCAGAAATCACCACAAGGATCCTGAACTATTTCGGAGTCACTATCACCCATGGAGTAATACAAGCATTTCATTTCATTCCATTCCATGCAAACCAAAAAACGACAAAAATAGGACAAATGTAGCATCGCTTATAAAATGAGTTGCACCACTTGTGAACATTTCATTGGACGATGAGTACATACCCTCCATGCACAAATGAAGACATTGGCAGTGAGTTGATATCCTATGGTATCTGAGATCTCAATGCATACAGACGATCCCTGGGGCCATCAGAAAGGGTTTAGTCAATTACAAAGCCAGAGACCAACCAACAAAGGTTAATCAAGTTCATAAAACCTACAAATAGAGCCATAGAAGTGAACTGATATGACACTTATGAAGCATATGGAAAGCGTACTTCTACATGAATTATGGACCAAAGATATTGTCAGGAATAAAAATGAAAGTTCTTCATTTAAATCATGCAACTTAGAGAACCCACCATCATCAGAAGTGTTACATACCTCTTCGTCATATAGATCGACAATCTTAAACAGCCAAAATATCCGTGCGCCGTATATTTCGACGACATGAATGAAGTCAGATTTGACTCTCTGTTCGCTATTGAGGGTGTGATCACTGGACTGAACCATCATAGGACTGATGTGTGAAGGCAAGACCAGAGGTTAATGATCCGCGTACTGGGTCGAAATTTATCGTTTTTGTGAGGTACCTCACAAAAGGACGTGTAGAATCTATGTGACTTATGTGATCGCCTAACCATCATCCGCGCTGACTCGCCCTATCGTGTGTAAGAATCTTTAAAAAATGAATTCCAGTTCGCCAAAGCAACAACTTATTGAATCTAGGAAAAAGAGATCTATTACGATCAGGACGAATGACCGAGCTATGACGTAACGGTTTGAGTTTAGCCAGAAGACACTTTGTATACTAGGAGACACAGAGCGGGGTGAGTGAAAAGAACTGGAAGAAAAAAGAGGAGTCGATGGCGTAGCAAGTGCACATAGTGTCCTTACACTTATTAAGGGAAACAATAGACAGCA